TGGGACTAGAGTGTATTATGGTAAGTGAAATTAGAGGAAGACATATCATATGACTTCACTCATGTGGAATTTAAGATACAAAACAGATGAACATGAGGGAAGGGAAACAAAAATAATATAAATACAGGGAGGGGGACAAAACATAAGCGACTCTTAAATATAGAGAGCAAACTGAGGGTTGCTGGAGGGGTTGTGGGTGGGAAGATGGGCTAAATGGGTAAGGGGCCTTAAGGAAGACACTTGTTGGGATGAACACTGGGTGTTACACATAGGGGATGAGTCACTGAAATCTATTCCTGAAATCATTGCACTATATGCTAACTAAGTTGGATGTAAATTTAAAAATAAAAAATAAACATAAAAAACAATTCATTTGAGAAGTGTACATTCAATAAGTATATAACAAACCAAAAGCCTAGTATTTAATACTTTTAAAATATTTAAGAATAAAACTATTTCAGTTATATTTGGTGGCCTTTTTTGCAGTCCATGTGACCGCCCTCGCGTCATTGAGTCTCTGAGAGGAATTGAAGTGGTTGATGTTGCTGCCGGTGGAGCCCACAGTGCCTGTGTCACCGCAGCAGGGGACCTCTACACATGGGGCAAAGGCCGGTATGGCCGCCTGGGGCACAGCGACAGTGAGGACCAGTTAAAGCCAAAGCTGGTGAGAAGGCGCCTTGAGAAGGTGCTCAGAGGCCTGGGGTGTCTCCTCACACCCTCACTTTTGAAGGTGGTGGGGAGGCAGCTTCTCATTGTCATTATGCCATTTTGATTTTTAAAAGTCAAAAGTATTTCCTGTTATGGTTTCTTTTTAGTTTTAGAGTTGATGGTCTTAGCCTCATTATTTACAAGGAGGTTTATATTCCATGTGTCATTTAAACAGAATAGTATTTGAAATATCCTTTTACTATTTTATTTATATTTTACACATATAAATATATATAAATAAATATTACCTGGCATCTTAGCTAAATGCTTTGGCTTCTAGAAGGCCCACTGTATTTTGGGTGAGGCAGTGAATAAGACTTCCTGGTGTGGTAGGACTGGCTCACTAGAGACACTGATAACCTGCCTCCTATCATTTAGATTGACTTGGTTCAAACTGATGAAGGTGTTTTTGGTCTTATCTTACATGATTATTAAAATTACACATTCTTTGTAAAGGCTTAAAACAGTACCGCCCCCACTCTCCCAACCCAAGAGCATCACAGTACTTTAAAGCCTTTCCTTAGGTAAACCTTCTTTCTGCTGTGATTGCATAACCTTGATTTCTTTTTTTTGAAGGTGGAAGCACTGCAGGGCCACCACGTGGTTGATGTTGCCTGTGGTAGTGGAGATGCCCAGACCCTCTGTCTCACTGATGATGACACTGTCTGGTCCTGGGGGGATGGGGACTACGGCAAGCTTGGCAGAGGAGGCAGTGATGGCTGTAAAGTACCCATGAAGGTATTTGTGTCTGCACAGTGGGAGAAAGGCACCTTTCCCAAGGATCTGGGACTTGAGGGTTCCATGTCTTTGTGGAGCTCTTAGAGCCCGCCCTTCCCCACCCCAGGCCCTCCTAGGCTTACCACCCCATCCCCCTCTGCATGCTTCTTAGGAGTCTTTTAACCTTATCTTTACCTTCTTTGCAGAAAATATAATGGGTAGTTGAGTAAAAAGTGAAAGGCCCAAAGGTATTAAGATATATTAAGTGCTATTTGTGCTGTCTTGGGAAATTTATGTAAGTTAGCACAACCTGTGGTTTTATATAGTATATAGACCTGTTTGAAGAAAGGGATAACAAATTGTTCACGGTCTTTTCAATTCACAGAGTTCTGTAGCTATGATTGTAATAGAACTTGCTGAAAGGGTTGCAGCTGGCTTAGCCAGAAGCTGTATTAAATAGACATCCTGTGACACACTAAGAGAAGAGACTGTAGGCCTGGGTTGGGGGTCAGATTGCTTTTCTCCATGTGATCTGCATGACTCTGAGCAATTTCTTAACTTTGTGAGACTCTCTTGCCCTTGTGAATGGGTAGTTGGCAGAGATTAAGTTCATTGATGTGTTTAGATCATGTGCTGACTGCTGTGCTGCCTACAGTGCATGAACATGATGGAGCCATTTAGCTGAGGTGCTTTGCTGTGGATTTGGGAGTGTGTGTGCTGTGAAAGAAAACTAGAAATTGTTCTCTGCTTGGTGTTTGGTCTTGTTGGGGATCTGGGACTGCCTGTGAGGAGTAGAGACCCTCACAGTGCACAGGCAGCTCTGTGGGGGACGGGGGCAGCATTCTACTAGGGCCCCCTCAGATGGGACAAGAGCCTGGCCAAAACTGCATAGCTTTTCTTCCCAGAGCTGTGCAGCCCAGTATAGGAGCTGTTGGCCACACATGGCTATTTAAGTTTAAATGTAACTCAATTAAAATTCACTTCCTTGCTCATACTGGCCGCATTTCATGTGCTCAGTGTGAGCATGTGTCTGGTGACTTCCATATTGTGCAATGTGTACACAGAACATTTCCATTACTGCAGAGAGTGGTTTTGGCAGGCAGTGCTTAGAGCCAAAGCCTGGTGGAGATGTGCCTGGAGACATCCCTGCATGCTGGTGAGCATTGCTGGAGAACCAGAAGCTCAGTGCTTCCTCTTCATTCTTCTCATTTCTTATTCCTTTTCTCTTGCAGGTATACAGTATTTTAACCACATTACAAGTTACTTAAGGTTTCCAAATTTATGAAAAAATTGTGTGTTGTAGACTTTCTTATGCTTAGGAAAGCTTTAGACACAGGCTTTGCACCTTCAGGGATTAGGATGTTGAGCATTGGGGGAATGGAAGTTATTACTTGATATGATTGTGACAGAGGTGAGGGTGAGGAGAGAACGGAGAGAATTGTTTTTAATTAATTTAAATTTAAAATCAAATATGAGGGGCGCCTGAGTGGCTTGGTTGATTGAGCATCTGGTTTCAGTTCAGGACATGATCTCGCAGTTCTTGAGTTCAAGCCCCATGTCAGGCTCTGTGCTGACAGCTCAGAGCCTAGAGCCTGCTTTGGATTCTGTGTCTCGCTATCTCTTTCTGCCCCTCCCCTGGTCACACTCTGTCTCTCTCTGTCTCTGAAAAATGAATAAATGTTAAAAAAATCAGGGGCGCCTGGGTGGCTCAGTTGAACGAACATCTGACTCAGCTCAGGTCATGATCTTGCGGTTTGTGGGTTCAAGCCCCACTTCGGGCTCTGTGCTGACAGCTCAGAGCCTGGAGCCTGCTTGGGATTCTGTGCCTCCCTCCCTCTTTCTTTCCCTCCCCTGCACACATTTGATCTCTCTCTGTCTCTCAAAAATAAACATTAAAATTTTTTTTTTTTAAAAATCAGATATGAGAACTTAAGTCTGAGAACAGTCACAGGTAACAAGGAGCATAGCTTGCTGGGTGAGAAAAAGTGATGACTAGGTTAGTGAGCCCCAGTGAAACTTCTGGGTGTTGGTTGTGAAGGGCCTGGACCCCCGATGTACACGGGTGGAAATGACTTCTCATACTAGCTTGACCAAGGTCATGTTTGATTTGATTAACCTGGATAGATGGATAAGTTCTAAAGGCCACAACCTGGTCCTCTTGGCCAATCCTCCTCCCCCTTTTTGCTGATCCTCTCTTGGGGGCCTGTGGGGTCTGAGAGGGTTGGAGGGCAGAGGAGCATTGCAGGGCTTACTGGAGAATGGGGCTGCCACACCAGAAAGAGAAATAGAGTTGGGAGAATAGATTCTGGGGGAAAATGATCATAGAACTTCAACTGTGACATGTCCATTTTTAGTGACACATGCTGAGTGTCATTGTGCAGTAGCATGGGCTCGTGGTCTAGTGTCAGCAGGTGTGCCTTTAGAGGCAGACATCCTCCTGAGAATACTTACTTGGTTAAGTGGAGTAGGACTTTAAGTTGTGTGAAATATTTGACCTGAGTAAGGATTTTCAGAGTTCTTTATTAGATTTAGTTCAGTCTCTGTGTGGTTGCAGCAGTCAGAAAAAACCTTGATTCAGTCTGATTGAACCTTTTTCCCTTCCAGATTGATTCTCTTACAGGCCTTGGAGTGGTTAAAGTAGAATGTGGATCCCAGTTTTCTGTTGCCCTTACCAAATCTGGCGCTGTTTATACATGGTATGCAAGATTCTGTTTGTTTAATCTCACAAAACCAGTTTGTTAATTTGAAGTTATATTAACTGACATCTCATAGACTGAGATGTAACTTCTATAGCAGGCTGTGATTTGTGTCCTGAAGTGTGGTGCTTATGCCAGGAGGGTGGGACGGGGTGGTAAACGACAGGGCCTTGCACTCATAATTCGATGTTTCATTTTGTGCAGGGGCAAAGGTGACTATCACAGGCTGGGCCATGGATCTGATGACCATGTTAGAAGACCTCGGCAGGTTCAGGGGTTGCAGGGGAAGAAAGTCATTGCCATTGCCACTGGCTCCCTGCATTGTGTGTGCTGCACTGAGGACGGTAAGTGGGGAGGCCCGGTGTTGCAGCACAGAGGCCTTTAAATCTAAGAAGTCTGGTCAGGGATAATATATGCATATATATTATCTGAGAATTTCTGTGGTGAGCAGGGCCTGGTGTTAACACTTCTGAATATGTTAAATTTCATGGCTGTGCAGAAAAGAGCAACCAGAGCATACCTGATACTGTTGTCCTTAGGAAGGGCTGCTTGCAAGGTGAGCCTCAGCTGGCCGCTGGGAAACGAATTTGGGGAGGGCTCTCTCCCTTCCCTAATTGATAACAGGCCTTGCTTTGCCTAAAACTGCACAATGTGGTCTCTGCTGAAACCTGTTTCCTGGAACATGGGTATGTGCCAGGTGGAGGTGCCCATGTGACAGCCCTAGTGAAAACTAGGGGCTCTAATGAGCTTCCCTGGTAGAAGGCACCTTTGCATGTGTTGTCAAAACTCTTTGCTAGAGGAATTAAACTTGTGCTGTGTAACTCCACTGGCATAGGGTCCTTGGAAGCTTGCATCTGGTTTTCTCTGGACTTCACCCATGTGCCTTTTCCCTTTGCTGATTTTATTTCATGTTCTTTCACTGTAATCATAGCTGAGTATGACTATATGCTGAGGCCTGGGCGTTCACCCAATGAATCAGCAAACCTGAAGGTGGTCTTGGGGACCCCAGTACAATGGCAAGAGGGACTTTATAGATAGAATTAAGGTTGATCATTAGCTGACTTTACAATATTGAAGTTATTCTAGATTATTTGATGGGCTAGTGTAATTACATAGACCCTTCACAACAGAAAAGGAGGCTAAAGAGTCAGTCAGATGTGACAGAGAAGAGGCAGGAGAGAGTTTTCAAAGTGTGAGAGAATCTTGATCCACCATTGTTGGCTTTGAAGATGGAGGAAAGGGACCAGGGAATATTGGTGGCCTTGGGAAGCTGGGATCAGCCATCAGCTGATAGCCCACAAGGAAACAAGACCTTGGTCTTCCCAAGAACTGAATTCTTCCAACAGTCTGCATAAACAAGGAAATGAGCTCTCCCCTAGAGCATCCGGAAAGGATGAGCCTGCTGATATCTAGACTTTAGCCTAGTCAGACTCCTGTTGGTCTTCTGACCTACAGAACTGAAAGAACTGTTTAAGCCAGTCAGTTGTGGTAATTTGTTATGGCAGTAATAGAAAACTAGTGTATCATCTTTCATTAAAAGAGCCATTTCCCCCCAGTTTTGTCTCCTTTTAAAGCCTTTGATAAATTATATGAACATGTGCCCTTTAATTGTTTCATTGATGGAAAAGTTTCCTATATGAATAAGCAATTTTTATGGCTTATCATGGGACTGGCATTATAGTTCTTAACCAAGAACTTACAATACATTTTTTTATTTGCTTTAATTCTTTAAATTTTTGAAGCAAATCACACACTTAGAGAATAGTTGGAAGTGCAGTACAAAGAACTTTTTTTTTTTTTTTTTTTTGATCCGTTTGAGAGGTGCTGCCCTGATGCTCCATCACCCTGAACATTTGAGTGTATATTTTACAAATAGGAACACTACTAAACAATCCCAACATGGCTGTTCATTTGGGAAATTCACACTGGTTATTACTCCACCTAATCTTCACTCCCATTCATGTTATAGCACAGGTTATACTTAGCTGTCATTTTAATGTCTCATCTTCTCTGAGACAATCCTCAGTTGTCCCTGAGTGTGATTCTTTGACACCTCTTCAGTCTTCCTGAGCTTTTTGGACTGTGACACATTTAAAGATTACAGGCTGTTTATTTTGTAGAACATCCCTCAATTTGAGTTTGTCAGATATCTCCTCAGTAGATTCAGGTTGCACATCTGTGATCTTAATTCAGTCTGTGTTCTTAATTTGTTCTAAATTCATCAGGTGTCATATAGTTTCTCTTTGTCCCAGTGGTGTTAACTTGATTAAGGTGGTGGCTGCTAGGATTTTCCATTCTGAATATCTTTTGTAACTAGTAAGTATTTGGGAGGGTATTTGAAGCTATTTAAATATCCCTTTTCTCATTGTATATTTTATTCTCATCAAATATTTGATATTTGTTTTTAATTTATATCTATGTGGGACTCATGGTTTCCTAATTTATTCATTGGATTGTACATAATCTGTTACTGTTAATAATTTTGATGCTGAAATTGGCCCTGTTAGGCTAGCTTTATTTCCTTTTTTTTTTTTAATTTTTTTTTTAACGTTTATTTATTTTTGAGACAGAGAGAGACAGAGCATGAACAGGGGAGGGGCAGAGGGAGAGGGAGAGGGAGACACAGAATCTGAAACAGGCTCCAGGCTCTGAGGTGTCAGCACAGAGCCTGAAGCGGGGCTTGAACTCACAGACCGTGAGATCATGACCTGAGCCAAAGTCAGACGCTTAACCGACTGAGCCACCCAGGCGCCCCTTTATTTCCTGATGTGTGCCCATCATTCACTGGGTACTTCCTTGCTTTCTGGCACAATAAGACACCCTATCTTCTTGACCCTCCAAGGCCCAAGCCTAGCATTGACCATTTCCACAAGGAGTCTTGGTGTCTTTAGAGGACAATGGTGTTTAGAAGACAAGATCAGGTCGATAGATGTGCTCATTGCTCATTGCTCTCTCTGGCTCAAAAATAAATAAACATTAAAAAAAAGATTAAAATCCTTGATAGTCTACAACACACTAGAGAGGTTAATATGGTAACTAAAAGGAGAACAATGGCCAAGGATGTGATGTGCTCATTATATATATATGTAAATAATATACAAATTTGCATCTATGTTTATTTTTGTATATATATATACAAATTCTACACATTCACACCAGGAGCCCAGATTCTAGTTCTATACCACAGGGTGATTCATTCTAGTTTTCTTTCCACACTTACAACTCCTTTCTCTTTTGGTGAGAAGTCTGGATTTCATTATCTCTAATATAGGGATCCACTCACTCTGCCTGAATGTGACCAGTGCCCCATCATTACCTTTGCTCTTTCCCCTGCATGGATCCTTACCTGACTCAGGCTGTGACTGCCCATTCTGGGCCACCCCCACACATGGGCCACTCTGCTTGGGCCAACTCCCCACACTGAGCGACCCCCTGTATGGAAGTTTTTGTCATGTATGGATTCTGATTCTCTGCATCCAGTTGTACCTCTGCAGAGAAGTCCTCCTCTCCTTACTTGTGCTGTAACACTGACCCAGTGGCTTTAGGACTGAATTGTCTAGGGTGGGAATGGGCCAGCAAGCACACTGCCGTTGATCATGTAGGCACTGCACTTTACAGAGTGCTGCTTATGGCTGCATGGCTCTCTTAGGAGTCTTTGTGGAATATGGCAAGGCTAATCTCTAGAAAACTAACCTCATTTCTATTTTAGTCACCAAGTGACCTTACCCTAGAATAGTTTTCTGGTGGTGTTTCATGGTTGGGATCTAGTATGGTACACTGAAAAATATGATTCTCATTATGATGAATCTCATGTTTGGGATATGAATAACTATAGGAAGAACTATGTGTTCCTTTAAAAACAGGTTGTGTTTTTTAAAAAAAAAACTGATTTTTTTCTCTCCATTTAACATAAAAAATTAATTTGGGCAGTTAAGGATATTACCATCTGTTTTACTATTACTTGTTCTGATAAAGAACTGTTACAGTTATGTGCTTACTCCTGTGAACAAATGCTATTGTATTTTTAAGACCAGAGTCTTGTGCCTCTTACTAGAAAAGGCATGTTGGCCAGCAGGGGCTCTCAAGAGTTCTGAGAAGCGTGCTCCCTCTTTGGATGTTGCAATTAGAGACATCTAGGTCACACATGAAGTTGACATTCAGACAGTTGACCACCAGCACCATTTGAAGGGAGAGATGATTGTGATGGGAAGATGGTAGAGGTTGTGCATTCACTGGTCCTAGTATACAAGTTCTTGTTCTAAATCCACTTCATTTAGGTGAAGTTTATACGTGGGGCGACAATGATGAGGGACAACTGGGAGATGGAACCACAAATGCTATCCAGAGGCCTCGGTTGGTAGCTGCCCTTCAGGGTAAGAAGGTCAACCGGGTGGCCTGCGGCTCAGCACACACCCTTGCCTGGTCAACCAGCAAGCCTGCCAGTGCTGGGAAGCTGCCTGCCCAGGTTCGTACTGGTTGGGCTGGGTGGGCTAGGAGGTGTACAAGTAGTGACAGAGTTACTATCTGTATATTGAATTATGCATGTAAGTAAGCCACACTCACATTTCATTTTCCATTGTATATTTACACAGGTGTTCCACTGCAAATAATTCAGGTTAATATTCACATTAACCAACATTGTCCATATATCCATGTGTCACCTTCATTCTAAATCTTATAAACTGTACAAAACCATTCTGATAGTACAGGCTGCACACTTTCCTTAGTAAATGTATTTCTATAGACTAATTTTTAGCATTTTCCTTGGTTCACATTACTTGGCTCAAGCAGTCAAACTGGCCAGAATATTATTCTAAAACCAATGAAGTTTTTCACATCAGACTCAGAAGTCTCAGGGATTCCTTGTTTTTGAAAAGAAAAAAAAAAAAAAAAAAAAAAAAAAAAAAAAAAAAAACTTTTTCAGAATTCATCTACAAACTGTGACTTATCTGTGCATTTGACACCTAAGTTGATTTAATGTAGTTTCAACATTTCAGGTTCCCATGGAATACAATCACTTGCAGGAAATCCCCATAATAGCACTGCGGAACCGACTGCTGCTTCTGCATCACATCTCAGAGCTCTTCTGCCCCTGTATCCCCATGTTCGACCTGGAGGGCTCTCTTGATGAAACTGGACATGGGCCTTCTGTGGGGTTTGACACTCTACGAGGAATTCTGATATCCCAGGGAAAGGTACTCTTGTAGCAATCTTTGCTATAGGCAAAACTGGTATTTTCAGTAAAATTTAATCCAACAAAAATTCCCAAACTGGGAGTAGACAGAATATAGTGTATTCCGCAGGGACTCATTGTTGAGTACCTGCTATATGCCAGGCTCTGTTCTGGGTGCTCAGAATATATCAGTGAAAAGCAGACAAAAATTTCTTCTCTTTTGGAGCTTACATTAAAAATTAATAGTGCGGTGCGTTATTTCCCTGTTGTAATCTCTGCTTCCTAACTCCCCCCTTTAAGGGGTGGGGTGGTTTGCAAAACTAAGTCTCGTTCTTACCCATGTTCTCTGCTTACCTAGCCATGAGGCATTATGGCAAATCTTCACTGGCAGCAGGAAGGATAAATGAGATAATTTCTTCCCCAGGGATGTCCAGCAGAGGGTGCCAGATATTATACATCATTTAGATAGAAATTCAATATCAGGATATGTAGAGATTCCTAGTCAAAGGATAATTTAACAGGCTGTGAATAGAATCATGAAGGAGGGCATCTAAAAATCACTGGACATATTTTGACCCATTGACATTTGTAATAATTTGAGCTTTTTAGAAATAGGATGCCTGATTCCGGAGTTAAGAGTTTCCCATTACTGGACATCATCGTTTCTGGCAAGTAGGTTGGCAGGATGTTCTAAAAGAACCATTGTGTGGTAGGGGTAATATTTGTGTAGAAAAAAGCATAGAGGTCAGATTGAGAACTCCTAATTTTGAAAAGCCTATGATTCTGAGACCTATTTTGTGACTTATTTTGTTATCAAAGATTACGGTCCCCCCCTTTTTTTTTTTTTTAATAATAAAATCTGGATTATTTGGAGTCCTATCCAAACAGATTTATTCTTTTTTTTTTTTTAATTTTTTTTTCAACGTTTTTATTTATTTTTGGGACAGAGAGAGACAGAGCATGAACGGGGGAGGGGCAGAGAGAGAGGGAGACACAGAATCGGAAACAGGCTCCAGGCTCCGAGCCACCAGCCCAGAGCCCGACGCGGGGCTCGAACTCACGGACTGCGAGATCGTGACCTGGCTGAAGTCGGACGCTTAACCGACTGCGCCACCCAGGCGCCCAGATTTATTCTTTTTTAAGAATGGCTTTGTTTGCACTTAGCTGGAGGGGACTGGTCCACACATTTTATTTTCATGTGTGGCTTAGAGACCAGTGGACATTGATAAGGATTGTAGTAATGGTAAGATGTCTCTGATGATGGGGAAGAGGAAAAAGTTGTATGCAGTTAACATTGATAAGAAACTTAACTTTAACCATTTTTTAATAATAAAAAGTAGCAAATTGATCCCTTTTACCATTTTTAAAAAATCTATCAGAGTGGAGATGATAATAGGCAGCTAGGAAAAATCCTTTCCTCATAGGGAGACAACCAAGTGAGAGGCAGGATGGATCCCACATGGATTGCATGAGTGTTCTGCAGGCTGTGAGCACAGGGGCAGGACAGCAGGAGCACTGAAGGAGTCTGGCAGGCAACTTCAGTGGCAGAGAATGTGTAAGCAGCCTCTGTTTTGGTCCTGGGTGAGAAAGGATCACATCTGCTGGAAAATTTGGGAAATGGGTGTTGGTGGTGACCATGGAACATTATTACCAGTATGCAATTCAGAGCACAGAAGAGAGAGCATCATAGGAGACCCCTGCTGGATCAGGCCATTCAGAGAAGGGAAATGCATGTTCCTGTGGAGGAGGAGCTGTCCTTGGCTCTGGGCAGAGCAGTCAGGCGGGATGGAGGACAAAAGTAGCTGGTAGGTGTTGTACAAGGGTGCATGGTGATGGGTGCACCTATGCGAGCCCCTGTGTGGCGTAGGGTGCCCTGTGAAAGTCCCTTTGTGGTAATGGGTGGACCGCTGTGAGGTGGATGGGTCTGTCTCTGTGGGCTGGTTGCCTCTATGACACCCTTACTTGACTTTCTCTACCTCTGAGGCCTCATCCTTGGGCTGCTTAGGGCTCTTGCCCTTCCTGCTTTCAGAGGTTGGAGTTCTGACCTGGGAGAGTGACCTGGATACTCTTGTAGGTACCTTGTGCTCCCCCAACCATGCTATCTCTGGACAACGGCAGAGTTATCCACTTGGCAGAGACCTGGGACTCCTATCGATCCTGTCTCGTTTGTGTCTCTTGAGTCTGCTTCCCTACCCCTGTCCTCACTGGTGCTACCGGTGCCCTGGTCCATATGAGTATGGCAGGCCTACCTGTACGTGGGTGTCATTGGGCCCCAGTATTCAGGTTTCTGTCAGTGTATGGTACCTATATGTTTCCTCCTTCACTGGTCTCCCATTCTCACCCCAACCCTGGATCAACATACAGGACTCCCTGGCCCTGCTGCTGGTTTGTGGTTTTGTCACAACAGTGACACTGAGGCATAGTGTTTAATGTCAGTCCTGCCGTGAGTGGACTTGTGGTCTGTCTGGGAGACCTTGGCTTTTCTAGTTAATCCTCAGGGCCTGGCCTGAGTCCCAAGTCAGAGAAGATATGTGCCAGATTCTGGCCCTCCCTACTCTCTGCCCAGAGCATGGTGGGCTTCTCTTGCCTCCAGATGGGGGGCAGAGAGCACAGGTGGGCCTCTGCATAGGCTGTGCCTCTGGCACCACCTCACAATTTGAAAAAGAAGAGTTTGTAGTTACTGTTCTTAAGAAAATTTGACTTTTAGGAGAGAATATTTAAAACAAAACTATGACATGATTTATCTATGGATAATAATATTTCCTATGTCAGATTCTAAATTTTGTCTATCTGTCATATTTTAGGAGGCAGCTTTCCGTAAAGTAGTACAAGCAACTATGGTGCGAGATCGCCAGCATGGGCCCGTGGTAGAGTTGAACCGAATTCAGGTAACAAGTGGAAATTGTTCTGAGTCTGACACTTCTCAGATAAGATGGTTTTGTGGTTGGGAGTTGTGGCTCCACAGCCTGGGGGAACAGCAAACTTTCTCTTGTGCCCTTGCCTTAGAGAGCAAGGTATTACCTGTCTATGGTGTCCTGTGGTGCTGAGCCTTTTAGTTGGGAATGTAAATTGTTTTGTTTGTAACAGAAGTAAGAAAGATTTATTTCAGATAATCCAGAAGCATGCATACAGATAAGCAAAGAGGGAAAAGTAAAAATGACCCATATTTCCACCACATGGCGATAATTACTGCTGACAGTTGGAGGTGTGTTTGTATGTTTGTTATAACTGAAACTGGGTGCCTCTCTTTTGTAACTTGCTATTTTTTTCCCCCTGAAAACATTGTAAGCACCTCTCCTTGCAATACAGTGGGAGTGTGGGATTATTTTTGCTGACCAGCTACCCCATGTTCTCTTGGTTTTTCTGTGCAGGAGGCTAGAAAACCATGCCCACTTTTCTGGAATACAGCTGTGTTACTCATCACAGCCCCAACTACAAGTGTATCTTCAGTTGCCCTCCTTGGGTGAGGTTCTGAGAAGGAGGTTAGGTCAGGGGCCCTCCATGCATCAAATTGTATGTAGGGACAGTTCCCATTCCCAACAGCCTCACACCCTTCCTGGCTCTGATAGCTTTCTTTGCCCACTTAATAGACTAGAATCACTAATACTGTTCTCTAGTAATGAATAAATGAAAAGTAGACCATCTCTGAATTAATATTGCTGCCAAGTATAGATAAGCTTACAATTTAAAAAATTAACTGGAAACCAGAGGAGCTCCAGTACTGATTATGGTATTGTGTGGTACTTGACATTTAACATGCAAATGAATTGGGCCCCACCTCTTGGAACAGAAACAGAGAGTTATGAAGAACAAATTCTTTGTTCCTTTATATTAACACATGATTTCTACCCTGGTGTTGGTTATATGACTAGACATTTCTCCAGAGTTGTACTTGGGGGCATTTTGAATTAAGACACAAACTCTTATCGTTTGTTGGAGAACACATGTGACCACACTGATGGATGTGGTCCCTTCACTGACGTCAGACTGTTTAATGCTAAGCTCTAGGTCAGTCAGCCTACTCTACAAATGGGCTGTTTAATTAGGTTCATGAAAAAGGTTTTATTTCCACACCTTGGAGGATCATTTTGGTTTGCTCTACACTATTAGGTCTTAAACACTAAAGTTCATAAGTGAGGAAAGCTCACCTAACAGATTGTTGGGCATTCCTAGATCGTATGCATGCCCTAGCCACATATAGGTGCCTGATCAGGGTCAGTGACCTGATACAGGTGGTTAAATCTGGAGCTTTTGGCATCACTGAACCTTGCTTACCTGGAACCCAAGTTAGGTGTGCCTTTTCTATCTTTCCCTTACCTCAGATTTTGCACTCATCATGCTCCTCTTTCCTTCTAGTCTTTATATTCTAGCACAATGCCTTCTGTTATGAAAATGTTCAGTACATGTTTGAAAAAAACAGAATGGATAAAGGGCAAATTAATATTAGCATTTTTAAAAGGCACATAAACAACTTTCAATGCAGCATGCCATGGCTACTCCAGTTATACCCAGTGGCCTTCTGGTACCAGAGCCAGATCTTTTCAATTCAGAGTTCATACTTCCATCCTGAAGCTGGAAAGATCTTCCACAAAGATAGACATAGAATTGTTCTTCTGATCAAAAATAGAGTACAGGATGAGAGTGGGAGGTATTCCATGAATCCAAGTTGAACTCAAGATACCAGTTGATCCAGAAAGGTGGTATCAACCATCCTGTGGCCACAGTATGCTTCTGGCATCAGCCTCCTCCCATGGGGATGCCACTGTAGACATTCTCATACTGTCTGTGCAAAGTGTTCTGGAGACACTAAAACCATAGGCGTGTTCCTGGAGGGTTTTCTTTGTTTGAATTTGATTTAGTTTTATAACAGAATCTGAAAATCAGCGTGCATAAAAATTTTTAATTTAAAATTTATTACAGAATTAATGCATACTCATTTCTGAAAATTTAGAAAATTCAGATTAAAGGCAGTTAAAATGATCTATATTTCTACTGTCCAGAAGTAGCCACTGGTACACAGGTGCATCCATGCAGAGTCATAGCTGTCTTATCATAGCCATTTCCTTCAGAGGAGCCAAAAGCATCAGCCTCTGTTAACTGGTATTATAAATGGAGGTGATGTGACATTCACAATGGGAAGCTGGGTCTGTGGCTTGTTCCTTATGAACAGACACACCCCTCTTCTTTAATGCAGTTTCCATCAGGGATTTGGGTACCTTAAAGAACTGCTGTGAGGTTTAAATAAAATCACATCTGTGAACATAGAGCCAAATGTGTGGCACACAGAAAATTTCATTCCTTAGGAGTCTGTTATCATTAGTGTCATTATTTATAAGTCTTGTTTATAGTTATTTGTGTGTGAGAATTAGCTATTTATTTTTAAAAAATTTTTTTAACGTTTTTTCATTTTTGAGAGATGGAGGGAGACAGAGCGTGAGTGGGGGAGGGGCAGAGAGAGAGGGAGACATAGAATCCGAAGCAGGCTCCAAGGCTCTGAGCTGTCAGCACAGAGCCGACGCGGGGCTCAAACTCACAAACCGTGAGATCATGACCCGACCTGAAGTTGGACACCTAACCGACTGAGCCACCCAGGTGCTCCAAGAATTAGCTATTTAAACTCACCTTAGAACTCATTAAGAAGTTAAGGATTGTAAGAGTTTAGCTGGAGGAGGCAACAGAAAAGTGCATTTTCAAGATCATTTTTTCCTTAACTTTTCATTTTGCAATTATTTCAGACTGAGCTTCTCAGGTGATTGTGAAGCACAGCATAGCCAGCAAAGCTGTAGGGTTACTGAGTCCATACCAGGTGAGGGCCTTAAGGGCTCTTGGTCTGATCTGTTTGAAAATCTTAGATTAGGGGCACCTGGGTGGCTCAGTCGGTTAAGCATCCGACTTTGGCTCAGGTCATGATCTCATGGTTTGTGGGTTCTAGCCCTGCATCGGGCTCTGTGTTGACAGCTCAGAGCCTGGAGCCTGTTTCAGATTCTGTGTCTCCCTCTCTCTGTGCCCCTCCCCCACTCACGCTCTGTCTCCCTCTGTCTCAAAAATAAATAAACATTAAAAAAAATTTAAAAAAAAAGAAAATCTTAGATTAGGATGAGAAATAAAGATAGGAAAAGTGATTGGGGGAAATGCAGTGACCCAAGGGTTGGAGTAGGATATGTGCAGGTGAGTAAGGAAGGGGAGCAGGGTTCTGTTCTGGCTGAGATAGTGGCTCCAGGTTTGGGTTCATAGTGCTGATAGTCTGCTAAGGAGAGCTGCTTTTGGAGCTCCTGGCGTCTTATTCATGGAGGCCAAAGCAGAGCGGTAAAGTGGTTGGCCATAGTTAAGTTAATGAAATGTGTGGATGAATCAGATTGTAGTTACTAACCACACCAGGTGCCACCACTCTGTGTGAATGACCAATGAGGTTTGTGATTTCTTGAAGGAATGTTTACTTAGACACCACCAGTCCTGAGGGTGCTGGGCTGTGGCAATGTGCTGCAGGCATTTGGGTGACCAGAGGCCATGCCTCCCATGATTATAGCAGAGCTTCTATTGGCACAGCTGTCCAGCAGGCATCCTGTGCATGAGGCCTGAGCAGGTAAACATGTGGTGTCGAGTGAGGGGAAAGGAGTGTGAAACCAGTCTTTGAGGTCCTCAGAGCGTTTGTGTGCAGGAAGAGACATGAAGTCCCTCTTGGGGGGAGGAGGGAGAATCATAGAGAAATGAGGTATGGCTTAGTCTAGAAGCTCTTCCACCTTGTACAGATGTGTTTTGTGGATTTTGCTTTGTTTTGTTGGGTGATCACAGCAGCATCTGAGTGCTGCTGGCTGTGGACTCCATTCATGACAGCTCTTTAGGTCTGGCAGCAGAGTGCTGGCTGGACTTCTACTCTGGTGACCAAGGCAGAGGAAAAAAAAGGGTAACAGGAGGGGTAAGTGGCTATAGGGCTCATTATTGCCCAGGGCTGGTTGGCTGTGGAAGATAGAAGCTGTGTCCTTTCTGCTGCTGCAGCTGTTTCATATTTGTTTCTTTCTCCTCTGTAGGTCAAACGTTCAAGGAGTAAAGGTGGCCTAGCAGGCCCCGACGGGACCAAGTCTGTCTTTGGGCAGATGTGTGCTAAGATGAGCTCGTTTAGTCCTGACAGCCTCCTCCTCCCCCACCGTGTCTGGAAAGTCAAGTTTGTGGGTAAGAACTTGTGTGCACTGCAGACTTGTGGTCCTGAGGGTTGTCAGTCTGAACACAGGCATTAGTGCAATGGGCATTACAAGGAGAGCTGAGAAGCCCAGCTGGCTGCACCCTGTGGGGTTTGCTGGGGTGACTATGAATTACTGATTCTCTTTTCTTTCAAGGTGAATCTGTGGATGACTGTGGTGGTGGCTACAGTGAGTCCATAGCTGAGATCTGTGAAGAACTGCAGAATGGACTCACCCCCCTTCTGATTGTGACGCCCAATGGTAGAGATGAGTCAGGTGCCAACCGTGACTGCTACCTGTTCAGCCCGGCTGCTAGGGCGCCCGTGCACACCAACATGTTCCGCTTTCTGGGTGAGCCTACTCACACAGGCATCGTGTGACTGCGTGTGCCTTAGTTAGCTTAATGTCTACTGTGTCTTGGGAATCACAGATATTTTGAGTACTGTATTCAGTCTTAGCTTTTTTGATGTGTACTTGCAGGGACATGCAGAACCCAGCCATCATTTGCTGGGTGCTAAGGGGCAGAAAGTGTCTTTGGCACTCAGAAGATCTGAAATTTCATATTTCTGTAGTTTAAATGTATCTGAAACTTGGAATCAGATCTGAGGGGATTTTGGTGGTTGGCCAGTCCCTTCCTCCTGTTGCATTAAGTATTTGTGCTGAGTGCTCCTGTTGCTGCCTGTACTTCTCCAGCCATTGCACCTACCTTCCTTGAGAAACTCCAGCTTTTGTTTTGTCATCAAAGGAACGGGGATTGGCCTCTGTGTGGTTTATATCCATTGGTGGAAAGAGGAGGAGAATTAGAAACTCTCCCATAGGAATAAAAGGAACAAAGGAAGTAATGAATTTAGAATAGGACAAAATGTTTTAAGGATGGACCTAACTTGGGGTGCCTGGGTAGCTCATTTGGTTGAGTGTCTAACTTTGGCTGAGGTCATGATCTCATGGTTCATGAGTTTGAGTCCCACATCGGGCTTGCTGCTGTCAGCACAGAGCCTGCTTCAGATCCTCTGTTCCTTTCTCTCTTTGCCTCTCTCTCTCTTTTTTTCTTTCTCAAAAATAAACAAACATTAAAAAAAAAAAAAAGGATGGACCTAAGTCTCCATGAATTTGGGTAGCACTGGTTTAGAAGGCAGTGAGGCCCCAGTGTAGAGCTAGTCTCTACTGTGTTGTTGATTGAACTAGCTGTTTCATCATTGATTTCAAGTATCTACTGTCACTTGTGCTTTGAATGAGCAGGTGTGTTACTAGGCATTGCTATCCGGACTGGGAGTCCCTTGAGCCTCAACCTGGCTGAGCCTGTTTGGAAGCAGCTGGCTGGGATGAGCCTCACCATTGCAGACCTCAGCGAGGTAACCACCAGGAAGGTGGGGATGGGGAAATATGACACTTTGTGTACCTGATACAGAGTACAGGGGGTGCCTCAGGCTGCAGACTACCTTCTGGTAGCAAAGAAGGTCTATGGATATGAGGCCAGTTTGCTGCCATAACTTGGTAGACCATCTGTTTTGTGGTGCTTTGCAACTTGAAATCTTGTCAGATAATAATGTTCACCATTTTTCCTGTGGAGGAGGGGAGCTTGTGAGTGGCCGGGTGGTGGCTCTGGCTTTCAGTGGGGGAGACATGACTGACCAACCACAGCCAGCATCCTCCCATTGGCCATCCTTCCCTTGGTACCATGACTGTAGGGTGAGCTTCATCTCCATCCAGTGGCTGTTGCTCTCTTAGCTGTTAACTTTAAGGACTTCCTTGAATTACAAGTTCTTTCCTCAGCTCCCTGGGTGAAGTACTTTTTGACTGCTGGTCTCTGTTATTTCCTGGCGTGTACAGTGCACCAACAGCTTGAGGTATGCCCAGTGCAGACTGAGGCCCCCTTGTGGCTGAGTGTCTCAGGTGTGAACTACAGTCAGAGGTGTAGGAAAGACCCAGACTTAACATGTCGGCTCCCTTTTTTCCCTTAAAAGGTTGATAAAGATTTTATCCCTGGGCTGATGTACATCCGTGACAATGAAGCCACCTCAGAGGAGTTTGAGGCCATGAGCCTGCCCTTCACTGTGCCAAGTGCAAGTGGTCAGGACATCCAGCTGAGCTCCAAGTACACACACATCACCCTGGACAACCGTGCAGAGTATGTTCGGCTGGCAATAAACTACAGGTGTGTGGTCATCTATCCTCCATTGTTTTGATTCAGTAAATAGCAAAAATAGAAAATGGTTTGCTTGGATGGCTGCATTTTTCAGAAATATCATACAGTAAAATGCTAATGGACTTGGTTCCAACTGCTGCTGATCTGTAGTCATCAAAACTTGTTTTGTAATCCGAGTCCGAGTACTCATTATTGCCTGAGATTCCTGGCTCTGACTAGAATACCAAGGTGGATAGAATTGCCCTGTTTTGGGAGCTGTCCGAACAGAGATCACAGGGCCTTTGGGTGCCCATCTGTGTGATCTGTCAACACTCCTGGGCAGGACTGTGCCTGGCCCCTGCCTGGCCATCACACCAGCATGGTTGCTGTGTGGCAGGTCCGCAACACCTGCCCTCCCCATATAGCTTTTGCCCATTGCTGCTTCCACCTGACATTACAAGTCCATACAGTGTGGTCCTTGGGGACCTCATTCTCCAGAAGCACCTGGCCAGTTGTTGTGGTGAGACTGCATATTGGGTGGACTTTACTTGCTGAGTTCTGCTGTGAGTGGTCCTGGCAACTGTGCTGTGCTGTCTCTCTGTGTTCATTTCTGCCTTGTGCCCTAACTCACCAGTCATGAGGGCCACAGTATCTGCTTCCAGAGGGTTCTTACTGTTGGTGCTCTGGAGCCTGGTTCTCTGATTATGCATATCTAATTCTGGCTCCTTCCTGGGTGTGCAATAAATATTAAGAATTGTGTCTTGGAAGCTGTAGGTAGTTTTTAAAATTATCTTCTATGTGCCAGTGTAGCTGCACTCAGAATGAGATGCCATTTCTATAAGATGCACACCTTGGTCATCTGTGTGGTAAGTCTTGGTATAAGCAGGACAAGATCTGTGTTACCAAAGATAGAAATGCAAAGTGATTTTTCTCTTTCAGACTCCATGAATTTGATGAGCAGGTGGCTGCTGTTCGGGAGGGAATGGCCCGAGTTGTGCCTGTCCCCCTTCTTTCTCTGTTCACTGGATATGAATTGGAGACAATGGTATGCCCCTAAGTGCTACTGCCCTGGAACTGCCTTTTGCATATTGAGCCACCCAATCAGTGCCACTAGTTAATGTCTTGATTAAATCTTGCCCATAATTTACATCTGAAGTAGCTCATGCCTGTTGAATGAAGTGAAAACATGTTCAGGTAGCTGGTGTTCCCTGCCTGCCTCTTTCCCTCCCTCGCAGCTATCACCCCACACCAGGGTGGAGCACAGGGTCAAGTGCACATCCATCTGAACACACAGGACCTATCCTCCCAGCCATCCACTCCAGCTCTCACACCCATCCTGCCCCAAACGAGCCTTGGTAGAAAGAAAGAATGATTGACTCTGTACTGAAGTGAAGAGTCAAAAGTGTCAACCATCCCTGACAGTGTGTCCTTCTGCAGGTATGTGGCAGCCCAGATATACCTCTGCATCTTTTAAAGTCGGTGGCAACATACAAAGGGATCGAGCCTTCTGCATCCCTGATTCAGTGGTTCTGGGAGGTGATGGAGTCCTTCTCCAACACAGAGCGTTCCCTCTTCCTTCGCTTTGTGTGGGGCCGGACGAGACTGCCCAGGACCATCGCAGACTTCCGGGGCAGAGACTTTGTCATCCAGGTGCGGTTCCTCCACATCTTGTGGTGTCAGCTGTGGGGGCATGCTCCTTGCACACGATCGTACAGCAGATTAGAAATGGGACTCTCATGTTATATGGTTTTTCTTTTTTCCTGGGAACAATAATGAAAAGCACACCAAACTTCTTTGATTTGATCACTCAGAATTTTATGACTACAGGATTTAGGTCTCACTTTCTACTTCTGGAAAATTTATCTGGCCACCACAAGAAGATACTGCTATTATGTTAGCACATTTGAGATTTTGAGCACACATGTCATTTAAAGCATATGTCTGATTCTCTGGTTGAATTGGGTAAATTAAGTAATGTTGCTTACTGAGAAAAATAAGAGCACCATCAGACTGAGAGCAGGAGTTTTGCTTTGATTTCTAACTCGGTGATCTGATGGCTGGAAATAGGCTCCATTTATCTTCCAGGTCATGGGGACTCAGCTGCCCTCTCTCTCCCTCCTCCATCCTGAGGCACTGAGTATGACTTTCCAGGTAGCAATACCATGGGAGTGGGGAGCTTCCTCAGAGGGCAGATTGGGGTGGAGGGTCCATTCTCTCTGCATGCTTGGAAGGATTTGGGGATGGGTTCCTTCCTGAGCATAGCCTGACTCCAGTCTCTGGCCAGGGTTGCAAAAATAGTTGGAGATCTTTGAGAACACATGTAGTTTTTCTCTCCTAAGGTGGGTAATTACTGGATTTCATCCACATGTCTTGCTGGCTTCATAATATCATATCTGTAGTAATTGAAAGGGGGCTAATGGTTCAAGGAGAATTCCCCATGTAAGTGGGTGCTGAGGACGTGCCTTCTGCCTGCCTTGTGCCAGGCCCTTTTTACAGCACTGATTTGTCAAAAGTAGTTGTCACAGTAACCAATTGCTATTTTTGACCATAAGTCCTAGGAATTATTGAGCTGTTCCTTTTAATTTCTAAAATTGACTATAGAGTATATGTTTTCTGATATTTTGTTACTCTTAGCCAAAAATGTTATGATTTTTGTGAGAGTCAAGAATCTAATGAACATAATAAAATACATTTGCAGTTTTATCTGTCCTTGCACACCATCTCTGATTATTTAACATTTTTTCATCAATAGGTATTGGATAAATACAACCCTCCTGACCACTTCCTTCCTGAGTCCTACACCTGCTTCTTTTTGCTGAAGTTGCCTAGGTATTCCTGTAAGCAGGTGCTGGAGGAGAAGCTGAAATATGCCATCCACTTTTGCAAATCAATAGACACAGATGATTACGCTCGCATAGCCCTTACGGGAGAGCCGGCTGCCGATGACAGTAGTGACGACTCGGAGAACGAGGATGTGGATTCATTTGCTTCAGACTCTACACAGGATTATTTAACAGGACACTGAGATAGAGAAATGCCATTCATCGCAAGACACCACGAGACTGAGCAAGAAGGCAGAGCACTACAGTTTAGAGTGCTGGAGGTATAATGTATTTGATGAGAAATATTAGGTCTCTAAAATGCATGGGGGTGGGCAGGGAGACTGATCGCTGGTGATTGAACAATGAATGGAATAATGATTGGGAAATCAGCCCTTGCACGAGGGGCACTATGTGGACACTAACATTTATTTTTGAGACTTAAAAGGGTCTTCTCACCCATAATGCTGCATTACATGTAGGACTTCTGTGTTTACTACAGTGTGTAAATGTTATATAAATACTGAATTGCAGCATCCCAAAAATGAATAAAAAGCCTTTTTACTTGTGGGTGCAATAGACTGTGTTTTTTTCTTTTTTTTTTTTCTTTTCAAGTGTTGTGCGTTGTCTTGATTGTACATTGGAAATACTGTGTAATGATTAAATCGTATTATAAATACTTCAATTAATATTACCCTGAATTTGTTTATTAAAAGTTTTTTGAACATTAAATGATCAGTATTACTTGAATGCATCCAGAGATTATTTAAATCAAAACCAAAATAAAAAGGCCATTGGTCTCCCTCTTCTCCCCAGGTGCACATTTTAGCATATGCGGTATGTAACTTGAATTGAGGCCTTTCTGTGAGCAGTATCTATGATAGAAGGTATACTATATATAATGTTTGTGTCTTGTATATCCCTAAATTTTAATTCCCTATGAATAAAACATCTGTCACAAAATTATAAGCTGAACTTTCTTACCTGGTTAGACTAGCACTTGGTGGTGTGCTACAACCAAAAAGTAGTCTTTGATATAGCATTAGTTAAAGCCATTCCAATCTAGGTTAGACTTTTTTGCTTACAAAAACCAAAGTCACTCTGGTGATAAAGGAGGAATGGGTATTAGGAGAAAGGAAAGTTTCAAGAGGAGTGGCTGGCATTGGGAGCTGGGGACCAGGAGCCTTCAGGATCCATTCCCCTGTCCTGCACCCCACCTGTCCTGGTTCCCATTCCCATCTGCCTGGGGTCAGGGGTGTGTTTCTGGTCTAGCCAGCCATGGGGTACTATTTGAGGTGCTTGGTCTAGGGTTGTGTGTATGGCAGGTTCCCTGCAAAGGGAAGGACAGAATAGGGTATGAAAGTTGGCCGACGGGTCTGGTGCACTAGAACTTGAGGTAAACTAGATGTAGGCAAAAGGAGGTATTGTATGTTGGGAGATGATTTCTTTATTCTGGGATATAACATTTTGCATTAGAAAATCCAAAGAGGAAGTTTTTCCAGGAATTTATCCATGATCAAATTGATGAATGCCCAGATTAGTCTTTTATTTTTAACTCAGCTCAAAATCTCCATAATCTGCAAGGTATTTTTTAAATCACCAACCCTTTTGTTGTCAGTCAGCTTTTGCTGCTTAACAAACTACCCCCAAAGTCAGTGGCATACAAGATGCAGCATTTATTTCTCTCATGCATCTGGGTTGGCTAGTCTTGGCTGAATGGCTCTAGACAACAGGTAAGGTAGGGCTCTGCTTCACAGATCTTTCTGACTGTCCAGGGCAAGAGAACAAGTGAAAACAGGTGAGGCCTATGCTCAGAACTGAACTTTCACCTCCACCCACATTCTGTGGGCCAAAGCCAACCATGTGGCCAACCCCAAAACCAGTGGGCTGACAAATGTCTTTTGCCTGTAGAATAGCAGTTCTCAGAAAAGTCTTGTTTGAGGATCCCTTGGGTTCCCTTTCATGGTGTCCCAGGAGGTCTTCCCTTTTCCAGCTATATATCTGCATGAGGCCAAATTTTCTTTATATCCTTCAACCGAAACTATATTATAATATATGGATGGCAGAAGCAGAAATGGGATTCCAGGTATCTTCTCATAAGCCAGATAGTAAAACAGATTAACATGTTTAATACCATTCATCCCACTAAATTTTGTAGTTTTGGAAAATAATTTTTCAGAATAGTATTCATGTTAATAAGTAGTGGGTTTTTTTTTTCAATATGTGAAATTTATTGTCAAATTGGTTTCATACAACACCCAGTGCTCATCCCAAAAGGTGCCCTCCTCAATACCCATCACCCATCCTCCCCTCCCTCCCACCCTCCATCAACCCTCAGTTTGTTCTCAGTTTTTAAGAGTCTATTATGCTTTGGCTCTCTCCCACTCTAACCTCTTTTTTTTTTTTTTTTT